AAAAAAAAAAAAAAAGAAAATACATGACAACAAAAATAGTACTTTATGTAGCTTTGAGTTTGATTTCCTACACTGATACACTGGTCAACCAGAATACTGCACATATTTGCAATACAAAAATATCACACAAGACACAAAGCTCAACATGCTTTTTGATTTAAAGCCCTCTTGTTACAAATGTCCTCATGCCACCAGCTGGAAATACTCTGCCTCTCAAGGTTCAGTGACAGTCAAAGCTCAGCATGCTTGAAAGGTGATCATATCTGTTGGAAACCTCATTATTTCCAGAAAATATGAGAAATGGGGATTTATCACTTTCAATTACAAACTATTGAAGGCTTATAAAGCCCAACTTATGAATAAATCAGTGCTATGCATGGCTGCCTCGGTGCCCTCCCTCCTGCTTCAAGTCTCGCACTGCCAGCTAGAGAGATGGGGCTGAGAGATGAACCCTGTACCTCACAGGCAGGCTTGGTGGTGCAGCCAGCAGGAAAGGGATGGCCCTGGAGATGGCCCTGGAGTGGCCCCGAGTCCACAACAGAGACAGAAGCTGCAGGGACAGGCGTGAGCAGGGGCTCTCACAGTGGGGACGGCCTCAGTTGTTTCCTCAGTGTCCTTACTTTCTGAAATTTCACCTCATAGATACTCATACAGTCTAACATATCCTGTGTCAGCAAGTAGAATACTGTATTTGAGGGTGCTGAGAAAACTGTAACATCCAAATCTAATGTGAATTAGCTTGTCATGCTACCTTTCTCCTGAACCCTTCTCCAGGACTGAATGCTATGCAGATGGAGGGGGAAATGGAAGACAGAGAGTTGCATGTGAAGAAAGGAGCTGCCCTGGTGTGGGCCCAGGAGGGGCTTTCAGCCAGCATGAACGTATTGATGCCTTGTAGAAACAGCGACCAGACGTGGGAAAGACAAGTATGAAATGTCAAAGACACGCTATTCCTTATTCAGAAGTGTGTTCAGAGATCATTTCATTTTCTGCTTGTCCTGTTTTCTCCTGGCTCCTCAACTATATTATGGACAGTGGAGACTTTTATAACAACAGCTAAGAAACCAAACCACTACTGAGGAAGTACCTTCATGAAGCTACTTTCTAATCTATAAATGAATGGTGCACATTCAACACTCTGGTTCTTCAAACAAGCCAAGCCCAAGTCTATAACTGCACTCAGCCCACTTCTGCTCATCCTCCAACCCCAGCTCCACTGCTCCCTTTCCTGGCAAAGCCAGGGAGCTCCAGGGCCACTGCCTTCCATGCTCATGGAGCCAGTCTGTCTTTGCTGCTGTCATATGCATGCCCTTCATTTATTCCATGACACTAAGTTCCTTGAGGGAAGTTAAAGTACTATCTCTTCCAACCTGTACCTGTAGTGCCTGTCACAGAGCTGGCTCACAGGCAACGTCTGATGAACGTACTGGTAACAACCACAAAATAACACCATCAGGAACGAGGAGGACCAGCTACACAAGAGCACTACTTCCAGATGGGCTGCTGATCCAAAGTTGCAGAAGGCAGCCACGGCAAGCCAGCTGTTTGAGGTGCAATGATGCAGAAGACAAAAAGCGCATGGCAGCTCAGGAAGCACCAGCACAGCTGACAGGAAACACCAGCATGCCATTATGTGGGCTGCTCACAAACAGTATAATCATCAGGGCTAAAAGTGGGAGCAGGAAATGGCTACCATGGCTTTCAGGGACAAGCAAAAGACAGTCATGTCATACTGGTCTTTACAGTCAGTGCAGTAGATATACCAGAACATCTGCCTTTAACAAAATTATTTTTAGCACAGAAATGTTATACCCAAGGACTATGGAAACGTTGGCCAAAAAAACCTGTTAACACATTGAAAACAGCACTCCAAAATTAATACATTTGTACAAAATGATAAATACAATACAGCCTCAAAATGACCTTTCCTTAGGGGTGACTGTAACTGCAACCAAGCAGAGAGACTGAAGGAGTACTGAGAGTTTATTCAGCATAGCACACCGCCTGTGGGGCACCTTCACCTGCTCAGTGAAAGGGTCACACAGGCCAGACATCATGGCAATTTCCCTATATGTACCCAATTAAAATGACAGCAATTCATACACGAGAAGCCTGTTTAAGTGTAATTTATAAATGGAGTGAACATTCCTAGAATAAGATCCACTTGAAAACTGTAATGTTACAGTGTCTTTTTCTGAACTCTCTTGACAATACATCGAATATTCCTTAGAATGATGATCTGCCTGCCAACCCAATACACAGAGGTTACGTTATTTTCTCAGTGTACGCTGTGATCTTTCATTGTTCCACTGTAGCACAAAGTAGGATCTCGAAGGTGACTGTGAAATGAGTGAACCAACGATTGCTTATGAGACTGGAGTAAGAAGGCAAAGCATTCAGGAAACACTCAAGAAAAAAGTTCAGTCTAAGCCAAAACAGAATCGTTTCATCACTTAGTCTTTTTGTAGATGATCACAAGCAGGAAAAGGAGGAAAAAAATCCAAAAAATCTTCTTGCCAACTTATGAAAAACAGCTTGCCTGGAAATCAACAAGTCAGGTTTACTTTATGAGATGGCTTGTAAAGCATCAGGAACACTACCCTGTTATATTTGCAAATCCTTAAAATATGCTGGTATAAAAACAGGGTCCTATATAAGATACAAGATTTTTAAACATTTCAAAACACCAACTTCATATTACACAAGATGGTACCACACATGATATTGCATATATTTTTTAGATTCAGATAAGATGGAACCACGGAGTGGTCCAGAGATGGTGAGTGAGCTGACAAGCCATTCAGCACACACTCTCAGGCCAGCGATGTCCTTATCCATTCTTCCTCAGGTGCAGAACAACAACCTCACTCTCTTCTTGTGCAGCACTGATGTGCTCTTTGTCTTAGGTCAGTTTTGCCTTCTTGCCTCGGACCACTCTGCTGTTTCTTAAATTTACTTAAAAAAACCCATACAGGTCCCTTAGAAACAGGTCTCAGTTAATTTCTTCTGTCTTTTTCATTCTTCTTTTTCCTAAATGAACTCAGTATACACTACCTTAAATGATAGCACTTTGGCATAGTAAGTATTTTAGAAAGTACTCTTACCTTCCCCTTGTCCTTCTCCCCTGAAGCAGACCCTAAAATGCAGGAGGGATTTTTCTGACTTTCCCCTGAAGCAGAAGACAAGACCCTCTTGAGAGGGCCTCCCACACCTGGAAGAAAGGGGCACTCTCTTCTCTGAAGACCCAGGGTCACCAAGGAGACTCTCAACACGCAGCCCTTGCTAAGTCTCTCCCAGTTGATTACCGAGAGGTCACCTTCTTGTCCGATTATACTGTCCTGTAACAGTACACTCTTCAATAAACCTAGCATGAAAATACACAAGTTCCCTATTTCTTTGGGGCTTCATTTCTAAAGGGCCAAGAAGCACATAAAACTTACATTAAATAGATTTCTATGCTTTTCTCGTGTTAATCCTATCTTTTGTTATAGAAGGCTCAACCACAAACCTGGAGATGAATGAGAAAAGATATTTTCCTTCCCCTTCATGGGTATGGATATATGGTGTGAAATACTAGAATTTACTAGAATTTCCTAATTTTTCATGGTCAAAAAAGGCCTACATTCATCATTTGGGGCATTAAGAATCTCAAATGATCCCACAAAGGTGTTTCAATATTGTCATCTATTTTTTATTATTTATAGGCACATTTCACTTACCTCCCTTTCTCTATATTCTAAATAAATAAAAGCCTTTGATTCTGTTCACATACTTTGGAAAATTGTAGAAAAGGGAAACACTGAGGTATCAATTTCACAGACAGAATGGAGAGCACTTAGTAAAAACAGTCTTTTGTTTTTTGTTTTTTGAAACATAGTCTCACAATGTAGTTCAGGCTAGTCTTGAACTCACTATGTAGCCCTGGCTGCTGGATTACAGGCATGTGCCACTATGCCCAGCTAAAAATAGTACATTTTAGTTTTCTGAGCAAGATATCTTTTATCATTAGCTTAGAAATCTCATGACTTTTGTTGCATTTTGAAAGATAAAATGAATTAGATTTCCTGTAAACCCTTTGAGAAATACTACTTTGGTCGTATTAATTCATGAGTCAATTAAAAGATACTCTGGGAAAATCACCCATAAAAAACGACTTCCACAATTTTGAGGACTGAGGGTAGAGTCGGTGGTAGTTGGGTGCTCACTCAGCATGCTCAAGGCCCT